CGGATCACCGAGAATGGGCGCGAGACTCGGTACCGCTACCTGGCGTCGAGCGTTACTGTCCCTCGGATTACCTGGGCCTTATGCCCTCCCTGCCGCACCACCTACATCTACCGCCCACCATGCTAACTGCTGCTGGTGCTGGTGCTGCAGCGGCGGCGGCCGGCGGGTTGATGAGTACGGCAGGAAGTTTTCTCGGGCCGACGGCGGTGACGGCACTGGGTGGCGTCTTCGGCAGCCGCTCTGGTGCAGCGGCGGCGGCGGCGGCGGCTGCCGCCGCCGCCGGCGCCGTTGGGCCCTTATCGAATACAGTGCTGACGTCTGGGGAGGTGATGTCCGGGTCCTCCGGCGCGGCGTCCGAAAGCCTCGGCGGCGGCGCCAGCGGCCCCGCGGCGGCGGCAGTGGCGGCGGCGGCGGTGGCGGCTCCTCGCCGATTGGTTCCTGTATGGGTCGACGGCCAGGAGCTAATTTTCTTCATCGCTGCACCGATGGTGGGTCCCTCTTTAATTTTAAATGATCGACATTTTTATGGTGACGATTAATCTTTAGGGTTTTGGGGTTGGTGCATGTGGGGGCTTAGAAAACCAAAATTAATCAAAAACAAAAAAGGCATGGTGCTGCCGTCCTCAGGTGCTGCCGTACAAATGTATGTATCAGTGTTTTTTTTGCGGAATATATTCCGAATTCGGAATAAAAAAATGTTCGCGGTCCTGGAAATTAAGAATAAATAATGTTCCGACCGTACAAGTTCATTCCTCCAGCCAAAAATGGGCTGTCCATGCCAAAGCCACTAGAATCTTACAGGAGACAAACATGTTAACCATATCATAGTACTTTAATGCCATGGATACTGTTAGGAAGGTCACGCCCGAAAGTCAACGAGGAATCGGACTTTTTCTGACCGGACCAAACGCTGCAAAATATTCGGACCCGAAGCTCCCAAAACGAACTCTATTTGATCAGTGCTTGAGTAGGGGCTAACTGGTTTGTGTTTGCTTGGGCTCTGCAACAACAGTCACCCGTGCAGCG